ATTTTTGTGATTCAATGTGTAATCGGTTCAAGAATGTAACACACGTGGAAGTTTTTCTGGAAGTATACTAGAATTCCCATTAGAGAATGGCGGATTGTAGTATATTTAATTTTTCTAAATTTTCAACAGGAAATGAAAAGTTAATCGTATACATGCTTGTCTATCAATAAAATACAGTCTTATTCACTCTTAAGTATAGCATATCGTGTATTAAAGTTCCATCGCTATTAATGATCAACTTGAAGAAGTCTGTGTAAATTTTGTCACTGTGTAAACCTTCATATTTCTTCACATATTATTGAATCTGAAACATGTAATCTACTTTTGCGATAGAATAGAATAATTTATAAACATTTTTTATCACTACAATTTTTTTCGTTTAAACATCACAATAGTTGCATTTTGTAATCATCACCAGAGAGTTACAAACCTGGTGCTTTTCTCTCAACCCTTTGTAAGTAAAGTCAGCGACTTACGATTACAATGTCATTAACCCTCATGTTTCGTTGATATAATAATTCTGTTCATACACTTTTCCAAGTTTTCAAAATATGACAACTTATTGTAATACTGAAGTGCATAACAATTCTATGAAATGCATAAATTAATATGCAATAATTATTATTAATGTATACATTATATAAAAATTATATAAAACTTAACAATTATCTAAAGATATTCAGAAAAATTTAAATATCTAATTCGTGTTGGATTGACTGGACTAATGCATAAGAATTAATCTTCCATTGATCATCGTTGCACATAGGGCACGGTCAATTAGGAAGCTTTACTAATGACTCCACTAATAGACCCATGACTAAACGCTCCGTTCACCTTTCCAATTCACACCTTTTCTCTCAATCTCTGTTAAAATCACCGAAAGTGGTGACTGCGAAAGGAAAACGCAGCAAACTGGTGGAAACTACTGGAATCAGGAACGACAACACAGAGACACGCCTACAAGAAAGATGGATGACATCGCAGAATCGCTAAGACTATGTAATCCTTCTCCTGGGGTAGCCATTAACCATCGATCTGTCGCAGCAACTAGCACCGTGACCATCGTCAGCTCGACTATGTAAAAACTCACGCAGTGAGTATAATTCTATCCTCACACTGATCGATCCTAAGATAGTAGCAATTAGGGTTTGATTAGGTATGAAAGCTATTTACTGTTACGTTACGAATATTTATATATGTATCTTACTTGTGTAAAAGATATCTTTACATGTAATGTATAATTAGATCTCTTTACGTGCTATAGTAAAGAGGTTCCCATCAAGAATCCTCGTATTGCTAAGGTATTTTTTGAAACACGAATTACTTGAGTTCACTAGAAAAAAAATTAAAATTACAACAGTAACGTTTATCAGAATGTTAACCACATTGTTTAGTTTACAAAACATAGAAAATATTATGTAGCGGATACAAAGCACCCCGTTGGTGATGCGAGGATTAATAGAAGACTAATGTACGAAGAGACAAACACAGATATCATTTAAGTGAACATAATTTGCATCTCCATTTTCTTTAGAGGTTAAAAGAAGAACCTGCTTTGTTATATATTGTTCATCACTGATTTTGAGATTGCCATTGGAGGGCTACTAATGCAACATCTTATCTGCAACTGCTGTGTTTCGATGACAAGTTGACTGGCAAGATAGCATGGGGGCAAGAGAAATGTCTTACTTGCGTTGCTTGCCTTCATTTTCGATACTATCATAGCCCTTTATGTATAGCATTTCGTAGATTTGTTTTGAGATTATTTCGATCAATACCGAAAACACGTGTGAAAGTGGATGGGACTATTTGACTGTAATTCCTTGCCGTATAATAGTGAATAAGATTCATGGTGCAGATAGTTAATTAATTTTATTCATCACTTTGAGTGCAAAATGAAATAAATCAACAGGATACCAATATACTGATATGTGATTTCAAAGTTAGATGGGCCTACAGGGGGTTAAGTTTCTATGTAATGTATACGTTACAGTAGTTAGTATGTTTAAAAGCCGTATAACTTGTATACCACAAATATTCAAACAGATAGAAATATTGCCGAATAATATCGATCTGAAGCGACTTATCCTATCATAACTACAATTTCTATTTGATTTACATTCGTGTGTGCATTATGGTATAATTTATCGCAAGAATTTTTACATAAACAAATAAGGATACTAGAATTTTTGAAATTGATATTCTTAATCTTGCACGTAAAGTTGCGCTCGTTTCGTGATGCGTGTAAGCATACTAGTACTTTTTTTGGCGTGTTCAAGTTTTTTCAAATTTAAAGCGTAACTAGAACTTACTTTGTACTAATTCATTCGCATTTCTAATGCCACGTGAATTATGCATCTGAGAAAGACTCGCAGGCGTTGTGCACAGAACGATTGGTATTGTCGTTTAACGATCGTTAGGTATGTAAATACTTATATACATAGATAAACCTATAATATGTCTTATAATCTAGCTCGACAATTCTAAGGTATGTAGGTAAATTGATGTAATCCGCAGAAATAAATATTCACGAAAACAATGCGCCGGAGAAAACAATTTTCCTCCTTAAAATTGCTCTATAAATGGTACTTTGTAAAATTTATTTACTTATTCTTGTATAAGAAATCATCTTCCGCCTAATAGTATCCAATATCCACTACATAAATATTTTATCGTTAACACTAAACGTACGGCGACTAGTCAAATGACCAGTATTAAAATTTTATTGAAAATTTTGCATTTTCTTTCAACTATTTAACATGTTAACTGCCGGATTTAATTTAAAAAATTCCTGATAATGCTGGCAATGAAATCAAATAATGATGCGTATACTCGTTAAACGCAAGCCAAATTCACCTATAATATATTCTAACGAAAAACTGAAGCAAAATAAAGAAGAATTACATGTTTATCTGAAAAAATAAAAATTGATCGTTGAAAGAATTAGTATCATTTTGATTTTAAGATAGCGCGTATACTCGTTGAACGCAGTTAACTGGTTAACCTCATCCTAATTACAGATTCTAACAAATTATCCCCCGTTTACCTCCAGATGAAGCAACTGTAACATTAAATCAAATATGAAAACGAACCTGAGTGAGCCAACCAGTATCCAGAATGCCCTTAAGTTTTTCAGATAAATTAACTTCCCGAGTTCATTATAATCGAGTTATATCTATTCTGAAAATCTTGTATTATGTATTAAGTGCTATTAAGGAATAAGTAATGTATCCAAACGTTGGTAATCGCTAATGACTTTTTTGTTAATGTGACCACCTTAAAAAAATGCGCATTTAAAAAAAATTCTTATATTTTCTTTTTCCTTTCGTTTATGTTTCTGTTAAGAACAATTTATCATCTAACTTGTTTACCTATATTTTATAACAAATTATTTAACTGGTTACGGTAGAAATAGGTTATTATAAAGTGTCGGTACGTTTAGTTTTAAAAACGGTGTTTACTATCTAAATTTAGTAATAAGAATTCGTAATATATTTCTATTAAAAAACATAAAACCACCATGAAACTGCACAGTGTTTTCAAAATGTTTCGCACATAAACCTGAAAAATGATGAAACTAGAACCCCCGTTAGTGAAGAATTTATATTGCATTTACTTGTTTTACAAATACCCGAATCGCGAGACGCTTGTTCTGCACTGGTGTACGGATTGTAATCCACAACAGCAGGAACAGCGCTAACGTTACTCACGTTTCCCAGTATTTTATTCTCTGGTTTCCGTGTCGAAGCTGCCATTTCCTCCAAGGACGTTATTAAATTTCTGAGACGCACGACATGCTGGTCGATTTTGAGAAGAATATTTTTTCGTGTGCAAACAGTCAGTTCCCACTAAATTTTTCTGATACAAACCGTGCTAAGTTTCTTTGTTACGGATAGTTGCCACGTTTACTGATAATCACAAGCATGCAATCGTAAATATAGGATACTTTGAACGATATTTAATATACTTCATAATAACTGCCAGCATATAGACAGGAGACTGTTGCACTTAAATTGAAATTACAAGAACTTCTTTGAATTGGGAATTAGTTAATCAAGTGATACATGTGTATATATGAAACTTTATTTGGAAAATGTGTTAATAACGAAAATTTCCTATTATTAATTAAATTATTGTATAATATAAATGGCTAATTATTAAATAAATATTACGGTATTGACAAAAATTTAAAAGCACAAATGTAATAATTTTCTACTATTAATATTGTACTCTAATTGAAAAGTATTCGAAAACAGAAAAACAGAACTAAATTATTGTTAAATAACAACTATTGAAAAAAATAAGTAAAAATGAAAATAATTGATAATTATTCATCTCTTGGGATAAATGAAAAATATTATTACAAACGCTGTGACTATTACTTTGTTCATTAAATAATACACAGATAATGTCGGAAAGATGTCGCGTTAAATAGCTAAAATTTCAAGGCGAGCTTTATAATTCAATGGAAATGCAAAGTAAAATATCGATTACCGTACTTCATGTCCATAAGACTTTCATTCGAAACAATTTTTGCGTATAACGAACAGTTTGCGAGTGATTCAACTCGCTCTATATGTGAGAATGAAACAGGTGTGGGATAATGGTTCTAAGATGGAGTTCTAACAGTTATTAATAAATGATATGGCGCCGTAGCATTTGAAATAAACGAAGTGACCTCTGTGATGTAGGAACGTCGTGCCCTACATTATTCTCATATAATGGTGTTGGAAAATTGGATCAATGAAGACATTGTTACCTTTGAAGTGCGTGTAGTTAATTTCATGAAATCAGTACAAAAGTTTTCAGTATTGGTATAAAAATATTAAATAGAACACTTTTATATTAAGTCTTATGTTGACTTCGCGTATGAAAAGTAGAAGTAACCTGATTATCAAGTTTCTCTAATTTCGATTTATACGGAACTGTTTACAGGAAACTGATTTCGAAAATAATTTTATTTATTTATAATAATAAATAATTCATTTATTTCAACTCACTTGTATGTAGGGCTGAGGTTGCTGAGAAGAAGGTGGAGGAGGAGGAAGAGGGCCGCCAGTTACCGCTGCATCCTGTTGAGGGGATGTTCGTGGTGGCTCTGAAACATTTCACCGTTTAATTATTCACAAATCCAATTATGTCGTTGTTATTCAATGTAGATCTGACGGGACTTGTATGTACTTAATACTCGTGCTAAATTTTCTCACACATGTCTCCTGTATACTAGTCATTTATCAGTAATATCTATGCAATTAGTTCGCCATTTACTGAAATTTAATTATTAATGTAGTATATATTTAGTTTCGATATAATACAAAAATAAAGATAAACGTTTTAGATAGATATTTTTAGCGCGCAAATATATTTATAAGCACAATTGTAGGGAATTATAACAGATAATACAATAAGTTTATCACAGTAAGACAAAATAATTAAAGTAGTTCATAAAAACAACGCTTAAATAAGAATATCGTTAATATAAACATTATTTCAAATAGAAAATTACCTACTTTGATTACTTTCGTTCTCGTTAATACTGTATCATTAATGTTATTTAGTAGTAGTAGTTATATAGTAGTAACCACTCATCAAACATAATTGGAACAGTAGTAAAATAAAAATACTCCAAATATTACATAAATAATGTAACATAAAGGGGAGATTTCATCACGATGTCGCATTATGGTTCTTTCTACCCTTTCTATTATCATCATTATCATAATTATCTTTTTCCTTTATATATTATTTTATATGTTTTATATTATAAAACGAATGTAATGAATCATTTCATGTGATGAAAGCTCGGGCGCCTTCAGCAAGACATACGATAATCGTCCGAGATTCAACGCGTTAACATATTCGCGAGCCACATAAGGTCCTAAAGTTTATAGCTAAATATTATAAAGGTTTGGTAGGCAAATATGTATGAATCTAAAAAATGTATAATAAAACTATATTATCAATACTTCAATACTTATATTATCAAAATCAAGTACGGATTTTTGAAGGGCGTAGGTTTAATAGGTTCACTGTCCATGAATCATATGTGATTCTTAGATTCTTGCATACCCATGCCATTTAAGAACAGTATAGTGAACACGATATAACATGTTCAAATACTTCAATATGATATAAAAAATTCAATGGATGTGTATTACGTAAAGGGTCATTAGACCTGAACAGCGAATGTGTTAAGTAACCAGCATCTTTCTCAAAAATGTAAATTGACGTAGGTTTACGTTACTGGCATTGTTATAAAAGAATTGAAAATGACGTAACACAGGTTCTCAGTATTCGACTGAAGAATTTAAACTAACATAGGACTACATTACCGCTCCCGAATACGTTAATATGGAACTTACCTAATGTACGGAAGACGATTGGTCGACTTCGATATTTTTTGCCAGCTCTGATGGCAGTGACGGCCAATTGATACTGCGTGTCAGCTCTGAGTCCGCTCAATGTTACCGCTTCGCTATTTCCAGCGATCACCGGCACCACCCTGTAACTAACCATCTTGACATTGCGTTTCAACTTTTACATTTACGAAAACAGTAATATTTAATCATCATTATAATCTATAATTCACACTTAAGATTAATAAACACTTTCTTGTAGCTGTTTACACGTGTACATCGATAATTGCAAGTTGTACGTAAGTACATATATGTATGATCAATAAGATAAATACAAAACATAAAAAACCAGACAACCTTAAGTACATCTAGCAGCATGTACTACAAAGTGCATTGGGAACAATAATATAAAGGAGATCGTCATTCCTTACGAAGATGTAAGACAAAAATGCGGAATAAATTTTTTTACACAAGGCTTAATTTTCGAGGAAACTGATTTTAGAAATTAATCAAGCTCAAATCAAGCTTCCATTAATAATTATGAATATTGACTGCATTATAGTAATACTTACTTTTTGTAATAATTTCGTATAATGTAGTAGACAGTAGTATTAATGTCTGTAGTATGTAAAAATAATAGAAAGATAGATAACCAAATTGTGTTCTACAGCTAAGTTTTCAGTGAATATTCGAAATCAATTTTTTTGAAAATGAAGCCTCGCAGGAAAAATTATATTTTACATTTGATTTCCATTCGCATATGATACATTATGATCTTGTTAATCATGTGTTTTTGTATCACAATTTCCAACGTACAAGGTGTTTTGTAAGTAACGCTATAGCCGGGTAAAGGAGGATTCTATATGATAAAATTAGTCTAGAATAAAATTTGTTCATTTGTGACTTACAGAAAAAATCAAGAATATTTGTAAAATATATGTGCACTTGATTGATTTAAAGGAATATATGATAAATGAAATAACAAATCTAGATTAAGATTTATAGGTGTAAAATTTCAGTTTTGAGGAATGCAGTTTGAAAATTTGTTGGTATATGTATGTTTAACCTTGATTTATTTTAAAAACACAGTCTAAGGTTAATAAACTTTGTGTTGCATTTTTTACCTAGTTTTGCATGTACAAATGTTTTCAATTACTTTTATAAAAGTTGGGTCTGAAGTAAAAAGAATGTTATTTCATATTTCTGGCTTATTCTTTCAAGCGGAATTATAAAATTTGGATTAAACCATCCGTTACAAGATATCCTGAATACGGTAGTTGCGTTTCATAAAAAAAATACTGCTTTCTCGAAAGAAATGTGTTTTGTCTTTAATTAATTGAGAAACTTGATAATATGTAAAGTATTTCATGAGATATTCAACGAAGGCCCCTGAAATGCTGAGTAGGTCATTTTAAACAAAATGCCATTCACATTGTGGCTCTATATCGTTTTATTACTCTATTGTAACAAAAATGATATAGGTTTTTGAGTATACTTACAGTAAGACAATAATTCTCTATTCATGTGCATTGTGAAAATGGCTAAATCAAATCGAAAACGTAGTGAATCGCATGCACAAGCTCTACCTTCATTATTGGAAATCACTTACTCTTGTTTTTGCAATCAACATGAACGATGCTTATACTAGTAACACAATAATTTTAATATATAGTATGTAATATGACATTTTTTGTTCAAAATAACTTACTGAATACGTGGATTAAGTTTGTTGAATATCTCATTAAACACGATATATATCATTATGTTTAAATTTAAAACTTATTATAGAATAATATAATAATTACACTGTGAAACACAATTTCTGTTTTTGAATAGCCACTAGGTGGTCCTTATAGAGTTCCTTACCTTAAATACGAATCCGAAAACCAAATTACTGGGTCACGTCCAGTTTTCGAAAAAACTGGCTTTCTCATAACAATTATGAAAATGTATAAAACAATTAAACATTATACATATAAGAAGTGATCGGGGTCCAGGTCTATACAGCGCGTATTCAGTGCCCTGCACAGCTGTAGCCGGCGAGCGATGGCCATGTAACGCGGAAGTTCCGTGTACGCGCTCTTCGCAGACATTTTTTTACCCTATCTCAAAGAAAAACCGATCTCATGCTTCCCACGCGGGGGTTCCTCTTCAGAAATGTCTGCAGAATCCAATGGCGCATAACAAATTCGTGCTAGCCAACCCACTTTTCGTAGAAATGTAACAGAAGTGCATACAAAATACGCGCATCTACCCTTTTTTAAACTTTGATCATCATTTACAAACATTTAATGATAGGAAAAATTCAAAATTTTTATAGCTACGTGTTCGAGCAAGTCTCCTTTATTTTCCGCGACAAATTTTAACTGCCTATCGTTTTTAGTTTTTACGTAACACTTGGTTTTCTGAAAAATTCGACCGTTTTTATAAAAACCCAGTTTTTTCGAAAACTGGACGTGACCCGATAATTTGGTTTTCGGATTCGTATTTAGGGTAAGGAACTCTATAAGAATCACCTAAGGGTTATGGTAAAAAACAAAAAAAGTTCAAATTTGTTCCACAGTGTTATAGATCGCAATTAAGGAATTTACTAACAAATGATCATAATAGGTATCGATACGTTCCAAGCATTACAAGTTTTTAAAATATGAATAATTTAAAAGGCATGAACAAATGTTGCAGTTATGAGTGTGTTGTAAATAAAGTTAATGCAATTGTATTTCGAACAATAATTAAATTTAAGATTTGTTGTGAAAAAAAACGTTTGTTGTGTTCACGATTAGTGTCTGGGAAAAATATGATGTTGCATAAAACCGTTACAAATGAATGCTTCAATTATTATACTACTTAAAAAGTAACAATAAGATAGGGATCTTGTTTATATCTTGGAAAATATATTGCTGAAGGTACAGATTACAGTAACAAACAAAATCAACCATATATTTATTACTTATTTTGCAATACTTTGTCCAATTACTTAATTGTTTTTATTTCGAATATTTTTTTTGTTCTTAAAAGTAACAATTGTATTGTAAGAACATATTGGACATGTAAAAATGTAACAGTTATTAACTACTAAGTTACTAACTGTTAAACTGTAGTACTAAATACTAAATGTTAAATCATTGAAAATGGATGAAACATTGTTTTAAGCTCAGTTGATGTTGACATAATTGTCGAAAATTTGTAGTGCAAGAAGTAATATCATAACTTCGTACTTCATCTATTTCATCTTTAGACATTGAGCATAAAATCATAAATTGACTAATCACGAATACTGTAATCTGATCTAAAAGAAAACACATATAGTTACTCATACAATGCTGTGCATTACAATTTACTGTTTTGATCCTTTAATGATGCAATATGATACAGCCACAGCGATGTAGTGGTTGTATCGCGAAACGGCAATAAAGTTAAAAGTGTGTAAGAGTAAATCATATGATTGATCTATTACTTTATTAGACTTATGAACGTAAAACAATACATTAACATAGTATAAAATATAAATGATTTGATAACACATATTATAAATATATTTCAATAATTTTGGAATAACATGTTTTGTGATTATTTATATGCTCGTTTCAAGAAAACTATAGTAAAATAATATATAACCATATAATAGTATAATAAGAATATAATAATAAACATTAAATTTCTCATTATGTTCAAAACAATATTATTTGTAACTTTAGTACCACGAAATGAGTAAATACTAATTAATAAAATGAGAACTGTGTTTTAAGATATTCTTGTATAAAATTTTTAAGAGTGATTTCATTTAAAAACGGTATAAATATACTGACTTTAAACTAATGACTAACATTCGCATCAAATTAAATAACATTGTACTGAACCAGACCTGCATCAATATAAGAAACTTTATTATGTATTGAATATAAATTTAAAATCTAGTATTAAGGTTGACTATCATTAATACATTATTGCTTTTAAAATTATTACAATACGCTGTAACGTGCATTAATTTTATACATTAACTAATCAATATTATATTCTTTGATTATAGAATAATGAAATATTACATAATATTAGAAAATATTACTACAGAATACACTACAGAACTTGAATAAAACAGTATGAACTTATTTTTACCATTTCTTAAATACTTAGAATATAATAAAAATACATCATACTTTAACAGCAGGTGTCACGTGAATATGATGTTGATATTATACCACATTTATCAACTGAAGTAGTTACTATCAAATTAAGATAGATTGTTTTCATATATTGCATCCGATTACAAGTATCTGTTAATAATGAAATTAAATGAATGTTATAGTATTCTGCAGTTGAAATGTTTACGTCTTTATTATTATTTACATAATAAATAAAACATAGAAGGCTTGTCAAACGTTAAAATTACGTTTAACATGTTATAATAAAAAATACCATCGACAATAGCTAGACTACTTATTTTCCTTGTTTGGTAACTTCGTGGTAAAAGGTATATGTCAAAGTCAAATTTTCCAAAAATAATATATATGTGTAGACAATACAATGTTGAATTAATTATAAATCTTAATTTTTACTTGTTTTTTCAAGTAAACATGTTTGTAGTTACTAATCATCTATACACTATCTTACAAGACTCTTCGTAAGCTATGTGTCTACCATAAATTCGTCGATAGCTGAGTAGTATATTTGACTAACTAGCAACAATATAAAACGTTAATTTTTTCTAATAATAACGTCTCTAGTGAAACAATTTTATGCTATATTTTTTTTTACTTTTTGTTGCATATAAAATCACTTTCAATCAATTATATACTTACCTATATCTGAACAGTAGTTAGCTAAGCTTTATAAAACTCGATCGAATGTATCTTCATTTTTCGCAAAAATGAGGTCCCAAAAGAAATAAATTTTATACTGGTTTTTATTTACGTTTCCATGTAGAAACACACCTTGAAAAGAACCCTTTGTACATAAGTATTTTGATATTCTTTCTGAATATAATGCATATTAGTTTCTGTATGGTACATATGTTGTCAGCAAGCCAGTCTGTTACGTAATCCTAAATGTTTCACTGAGTTAGATTGTAGTATAATGTTTGTCCAGTTTCAGTTTAATTATTTCCAGAGAAAGACATCATAGCGTGAAATTGATATGTGTACATTTGGTGACG